GACGCGATTTTCGCGTAAATTTGTGTTTCTAGAATCGTAATTAATTTACACAAAACAAGACGACAGAAAGAGTATCTAACTCAACCAATTTTAAACAATAAAATAGCGTAATTAACAATTACAAAGAAATATACCGGACGTAAAATGTTTTACACGGTTTTGATATAAAAAGTATAAATTTTTCACATACGACGACAATTTCATTTTCGTTCGTTTTACGTTGCGTGACACTTTTCCTGAACCCCTTTTGTTATCATCGTCTCTGCTGTAGAAGATCCACTCCCGAGATATAACGTAAAACCTCTTTGTGAAATATACATCTAATTTACTTGTTACAAATGTGAAGTGGAATCATGAAACGCGCTACATCACGGTGTAGAGAGAGAGAAACAGAGAGAGAGAGAGAGAGAGAGAGAGAGAGAGAGAGAGAGAGAGAGAGAGAGAGAGAGAGAGANAGAGAGAGAGAGAGAGAGAGAGAGAGAGAGAGAGAGAGAGAGAGAGAGAGAGAGAGAGATAGAAACCGTGTTGTATCTTAAAAACCACTTTAAAATTTTAATATTCCTGCGTGCAATTTTTTACCGCACTACGATCTCTCACGCTTTACGACCGTGATTGTAATTTTATGAACCACACGAGAGGATAAACAATTTTTCGAAAAACCGACTCCGCCGTGTGTACTAGAATTATATACGGGAGAACGCCGCAGTTAAGTTAAAGGGAATGCGCGCGCCCAGTTAAGATTTAATTAAACGAAGTCGAGTGCGCGCGCGTTTGCGCACGGCACACACCCACATACAAAACGAATCGGGTTGTAAATACACACACACATACACACACAAAGACACACGTACGAGCCGTAAATTTCTCTCGTCGAGAGTGGGATACACAAAAAGCTTGTTAGGAGTTTACTTGAAAACTCGGACTCGCGCGCTACTTGGCGCCTCAACAATCCGGCCAGCGTCGCGCGCAATATTCGTTTAACTTATTTATGGCAAATTTGGCGAGCGAGACGGATTTTAATTCGCGCGACCCACTTCGCGTCTGCCCTTGTCGCGGGAGATAACTACGGCGGGGAAAGGAAGGGAGAGAAAGAGAACTCAATCGGGAATAAGAAAGTAGGATAATGCTAGCGAGACAAACAGGAGCTCGCCGCGCGTGCCAAAATCCGCGCAAGTGAACGAAAGATGTTCGAAAGGCGGTGGACGGGGAAAAACGGAGACAAACAATGCGAAATAGCTAATCCGGCGGTAAAAACGCTCGGAAGGCCGCCAAGTAGTTTTGCGCGATGTCCTGTGGCGCTTTTGCTATCGGTGGGAAAGGGGAGGAAAGGGGTGAGACCACCCCCGCCCGCCCCCATATCGTAGACGCGTCGAAGTTTAGACACTTTATCTTCGCTTGTGCAATGAACGGAAAATTGTGCGTGTAAAACCACACGCATTTGCACGAATCAAAAGTTTGGAGAAAAAATTCACGCTATAATCGGCGAATAATCAAATTCTGAAGATTAAATCGCGGTTTTTTCCGCGATATATTTTACAATTCCGCAAATATTTACGTACAATTCAGAAAAACTTTTTTACGAACGCGGAGATCCATGAGAGAGAAACTCTGATCGAAATTGTGATAAAAAAATTCTGCTCTATATGACGCATTTCTCCGTCGCGGAGAAATTTGTCAAGTTAAGAGCTTTGTGTGCGATTCGAAACGATTCGCTCTCTTATCTCTTAGAAATTTTGCGGCGCACCGGTGGTGCGTTCCGTGGCAATATAAGCACGTTACTTCGTCCTCGGCTGCGCGTATCGCGGTTGCACGCGCGAATGTACATCGCGATAAGCTACACGTTCACGCGCGAATGTTGCGTATTCATATGACATATGATCTCCCCCCGGAGCGTCATACGCGCGTGCGGTTTATATCGCGTATCACGCGCGATATTTATCGATCTCTCCGCCGTGTGCGCGAGAGATTAGACACCGGTTTTGCGCGGATCGCGACATCTAATTCGACTTCGCGTATTCGACGTCTAACGGTCTAACGATCGTCGAGGCACGCCTGACATTGCCAGGAATTCCAGTTACGACGACGGTGCGAGAATATTTCCTTGGATCGATCAGATCCACACCCTTTCCCCATTCGAGACCAATATTGGAATATCGTCTCGACGCCATTAAATTAAATGATAACGCGCGCGCGCGCGCGTGTGTTCCGCGCGTCTTCTATTTCGAGATAGAATGCACGTTTAAGGTCGGGAAGCGCGAGAGATATTGCAAGAGAAGCGGAATTTCGGGACTTACCCTTCTCCTTGACTGTGGATGGTCAAACTTACGAAGCTAGGATCCGGAGTGGGTAAACTTAACTAAAACTAATTATGGATGCACGTAGCAAAGAGACTGTCTCGCATTGTGCGCTCCCGCGTCCGAAACACGCGACGTTATTTCGCTCATGGGACAAGAGATGAGAGAAGAGAGAGAGAGAGAAAGGAAGAGAGAGAGACGCGAGAGAGTGAGCGCATTTGCAATGCTCTTAAGACGCGATGTGCACTTGGGTTCAAGTTCCGCGCTCCCGGATTTGCCATCGTTCCTTTTCCATCTACGTGCGCTTTGACTAATTTTCCAAATATACGCTTCTCGCGCTTGGAAAACGTGCAAAACCACGAGGCACGTCTATTTTCCTCTCTCCCTCTCTCTTTCTCTTTTTCTCTCTCTCTCTCTCTTTGATATATCCGTGCGATAGCCGAGAGCGGGGTTTTTATATCGCTCGTGTATTATGTACCTCCTTGTTGCGAAAAGTGCACGGCGTGCGTTTGTCTTCTTCGCTCCTTTTCTTTTTCTCTCCGCCTTCCATTCCTCATCTCCAACGTTCGTCTCTGTTTCTCTACATCTCTCCTTTCCAGTTTTCTCGTTTTGTTTCAGCCACGTTCAAATTCTCCGATGGTCTCTCGGTGCATTTACCGTGCGAACTTTTTGTTTCCTAACAAGCAGCGCGAAAGTCACGTACGCCGCGCGCGCCGGGTTACGGAAAGTCTGTACAATTCGGGAAAATTGAACTCTATGCGGCCGCGCCGCGCCGGTTCGGATAGCAGCAGGACGGACTTCCCCGGTTAACGAAGGGTCGGCGAATCTCAAAATTGTTGAAATTGGATCGGACGTGTGTGAAAAAAGAAAGAAAAAAAAAAAAGACTCTTCCCCGTTAATGCACGTTTCGCGCGGAGAAAGAGAGAGAGAGAGAGAGAAGTCAGTTGCACAAGCACGTTTATTTTAATTATTCTCTCTCGAAAACCAGAGCGCGCGCGAAACAAACAATAGAATATCGAACAAAAATGACATGAATCTGTGTTACGCTATGCGCGCGTGTTACGTACAACTGAATTATTATCTGGCACCAAAACACAAACAAATAAATAAATATTACTAAATTATTACAAAAAAAAGAAAAGTTTATAAAATTTCTGTAGTATTATATTTCACAAATATTTTACCGCGCGCACCACACACATGTTTTTCTTTTTTTTTTTTAATTAATATTCTTCAAGTTTTTTTTCAGTCGGCGACAAAAAGTCGAGACGAAATAAATTTAGTTGTGTTGTAAAAGTTATTTGTTTGCGCGCGCGCGAGACGGGGATTAGCTCGCGCTATAATAAAATTATATATTATATAGAAGAACAATATCTCTCACGATATCTCTTCCCTAGTGGATATCAATCCTGAAACACTACAGCCGGATATCGCGCCTTGTCGGACACGGGAACAGGAAGAATGTCGTGCAGGTTGAAAAGGGGAAGTACAACATCACGGAAGGATTTGTGGCCGCTGCCTGTGACAGCTTCGGAATCGTCCATCATGGTATTAAACAATTTATCCGTCGCGCCGGGCTATACGCTACGTCGCGCCTCGTGTCTCGTGCTGTGCGACATGCGCGCAAAACGTTGATTGAAATTTATAGAAACGCGTTTTCCCAGGCGCGCGGGGCGCTTCTTTTTAAAAACCGGAATTGCTCCGCGAGAAACGGCTCGTTCGACACGTTCGAGAGTCTAAATAAATAAACAATCCGAGACGAGAGCTCTCAGTTCGCGCGTGTTCTAATTCGCGCGTATGTCTTTTCTCTTATCGCTGTTTCAATAATGCGAGATTATTACGAACGCGCAAATAACAACGAGCGGGGGGAAACGACGGAAACTTTTAGCGGGAGAAAAAAAAGGACAAGAAATGATGAGAAACTTTTGATTCATCTCCCGTGCGCTTGGCGCGCACTCACTCACACACACACACACACACACGTGATATCCGATGTTTCCTTTTCGAGTGGCGCCAAATATTTGCACAAACGAAGCGGAAGCGAATGTTCGCCACTATATCGGATATCGTTTGTTTTGGACATCAGCCAGATCTTAGCGTGGTGGTAATTTACGGTAAGCCGCCGCAGCACGTTTCTTCCTCCCTCGGGGATGTGTCTCTCCTCTCCTGGCAAGAGAGACGCTTTTAAAGAGCGATGGAGGAGCCTTTTAAAGCGCGGATTTTCTCCCCATCGACGACATTTATTCCCGGGGAAGAGTCAAGACGACAATGCCGCGATATTGCCGCGAACATATATACATGTGTGTTATGGTATTATGCGAGAAAAAAAGACAAAAAAAAAAAACCTACGTTTCCCGCGCGTTCGCGACTAGCGGCGCGAATAAGCGTTGTCGCTCGCTAACGACAAATCATTGCGATATTTCATCGCTCGCATTTGTGGCGCGGAAACAAACGCGCGAGATAAATTTTTGCGTCTCTACTACTTTTTACGTACGTTGTTAATTTTTCTCCTTAATTTTTCTTTGCGATATTTTTTCTCCGCGTCGTTTATTAAAAACAATTATTTGTTTTTGTGTAAATTAATTATTACCCACACACACGTTTCAAAAGACCGAGGGACTTTGAAAAACAACAGAATTCAAATAATTCCAAATTACTACTTCGTATCGCCTGAAAAGTTTGCATTTTAAGCAAGAAAAAACTCACGGAGTTGATGTAGTTGATGAGAGACAAGCCGCCGTCCCAGGGATGCTCGAGCTCGCAGGAAATATTGGCGGGTCTTAAAGCGTGGGATTGCTCGAGGGTACGTAATCCTACCGCGAACACCTGCACACTGTCGTACATTAGCGCTGGTTCGGCCTGCAAAAATACGAATCATCTTTGTTACGCGTCTGGTTTGGCAAAAAAAAAAAAAACAAAAACAAAAAAAAAAACGCGCGCAAGAAAACAACGCGCCGTGTCATTTCAAATATTTTGTTTCGCCGGCCAATGTTTGTGCGTGTCCTCACATGATCCATTCGTGGTTCTTAATCCAAGAATCCAATGCGCGAATTCGGACAAATTTGAATTCAAACGCATAGGATATGCAATGCAAATGATACATCAATATACAATAATATATACATGTTAATACAACAATATACATATATATATATGTTAACGTACATAACGTATTGAATATACATCACAGAATTTAATATCTTATTTGCATCACATTCAGCTTTTGGTTCAAATTCGCCGAATCCATGCGTACACTTTCGCCAATATATTACGGATTTCAGATATTTTCATCTCTCTCCGAAATTGTGCTCGCAATTTCGCGTGGAAATGTATTGCGCGTGTCGAACGACACGTACGTGTGTCGTCGTCGTAGAATCAATGAATGAAGAGAACCGATAATATTCCCAAAGAGCATTTCGATTGAAATTTTATGACGAATGTGCGCGAGAAGTTACATTTATTAAAATTAGAATGGCAATTGACGCGCGATTCGACGTCGCTTCGAGGTTTTCTAACAATGAAATTAAATGCGAAAGCAACGAAATGTGACGCGTGTGTGGAAAGCGGAGGGACTTTCGCGAAGAAGTGAACGCGCGCGAGGGTGCGAATTATGACGGCGACGGGCGCGTTTTAGCGAAATGCTCCGGTTATTAATTGTAACACCGTTAATAGCGCACGCGCGTGATTGTGTGTGTGTGTGTGTGTTTGTGTGTGCGTTTATCTCCACGAATTATGAAATTCACGGTACGTTGCCGCGTCGAAGTTACGCGCCAATTCTAATCTACTCGTCACGATGTCGTCTCGTCGTCTTCGTCGTCGTCGTCTTCGTCGTCGTCGTCGCCGGAAACGCCGACGGAAAATGTAATATTCGGGCGAGAAGAGACTATACGCGAGATTTGACGGCGTCGTGTGAATTAATTAATTTCATTCACACGCTATTTATCCCGTCCCGTCGAAAGCGCTCGCGCGCTAATGATACCGTAAGTGAGTTCCTTTTTACATCTCGATTGCGCGACTGCGCAATGCGCCGTTCAAGAACATTAAAGATATTATCACTCCGTGATCTTCGCGTTTAACAAGTAAAATATTTAACAAATATTGTTGAAAAAAAAGACAAAACCTAAACTCTAAATTGATTACTTTTTTTCAAACATACGATTCTATCAGGTAAACGTATTCAAAATTCGAATTGAATAACGATTCGGAATTTTTTCCACGTGTTAATTAATTTACCCGTTAAAACTTTATATTTCGCGCGTTACATTCAGCGCGCATTCGGTGCTCCCAAAGTCTTATTTACTTGTTTTTCAATTCTTGTTTTTGACACAGAAGCAATTATTGAAATATTGTCAGTTCGCAACATTGACGATATCGTATTTATAAGCGATTCCGATAAATTGATATTGCTTTTTGCCATACAATAATAAATTGATACCCCGTACCTGGATGCGCGCGAGTTACAAAGTTATTAAAAACAAAATAGTTTAATAAAACGACCGATTTCAGTTTGGCGCAAGTCCGTCCGTGCGGTCTTCGACAATCGCGAGACTTGATTTAGATTCGTTGTTCGGGTAAATTGAACAATTAAAAAAAAAAAAAANAAAAAAAAAAAAAAAAANAAAAANAAAACCAGAAGTCGAATTAAAGAGAAAATGAGAAACGAAAGATGATTTTGAAGACGCACTGAGACACAATCGCAGACAAGCTACACATTATTTTCCGAAGTGTTTTAAAGCGAGTGCTCTTCTCCGGCGATCGACGTCGCGCGAGACGCGGTCACGTCGACAATTGATTACGTTCGTATTTCAGAGTCGTGAAACGATGCTAAGCACGACGCGGCCATTCCTGCCTACGACCGCCTCTCTCGTCTTCATTTCCTTACCCCTTGCCTCGTTCTCCTCCTTTTCCTCCTTCTCGCAACCCTCTTCAACACGCGGCACGTCCCGGGGAAGGCACGTATTTGAGGCGGACAAACACGCGGAAGCATCCAGGGGAAACGTTGAGGCGGAGACCCGCGCTCAAGTCTCTCTCTCTCTCCTTCGTTATTCGCGTTTCCACAAACGCGCGCTTTTTGCCCGCGGAGAGTAGTTTGTCGAGCTTTAATGTTTGCCCTGGGCTAAAGTGCAACGTTGATCCAATATTGCGTTTCTATTGACAACGCGCGAATTTCGTTAGCGCGACTAATCAACTTTTCAGAAGCGCGCGATTTTAACCGAGCTTCGAAATGCCGAGACTCTCTCCGCCGAGATCTCAAGACGCTTCCACATCCATCGTCGGAATCTCCGGCGCGCTTCTCGAGACGAAACAGGTCTGATTGTATATCGGCGATTTATTACGGCAACGCCCGATCTAACGCGCGAAAATCTTTTTTTATCTTACGTTCGCGGGATTCCATCGCGAGACGAGACGTTTGAGCCGAAGAAAACGCGACGAAAACGAAAATCTCTCTCGATAACGGAATGACAAGTGAACGTCATCGAATATCTTTTTTTTTTTTTATTTTTTTTATTTGCTTTTTTATCTGCAAAGTCTTTTGTAATCGAGCCATTGTAATTTAAAGCGTGTAAAGAATGAAAACAAAACAAAAACCGCAAATAAAATGCAACCATACGTAATTTCACGCTCATTTTGCTCAAAATTTATGTCAGAAACCGCGCGCTTTGCAAGCGAACGCGAATAAAATCGGCGACGCGGAATTTCACAGACTCAGGTGTGCGATATCTCGGTTGAAATAATAATTATTACATAAAACCTCTGTATCGGAAAATCGCAACAATCGAATGAAAAAATGTGAAACAATTTGCCGAACTTTAACGATGCGCGAGTCGAGTTGGTTAGTTATGCGTGCAATTTCGTTCGATATTAGTTTATAAATTATCGGTCGCGTCGTCCGGCTCGTTGCGGTTTCACAATTACGCTAAAATCCTCCCTCCGCCGCCGCCGCCGCCGCGCACGGGACAGTAATAATTCGAAACGAGAATTCGTCGAAAAGTTTCATTCGTTCGCGAAAGTTGATGAACCGTCGCTAACGTAATTTATGCAACAGGACACACGGACGACTCGACGACTGACGTAGGGCGACGCGAAACGAACGAGGCGAGGACGAGACGAGAGAGAGAGGTGCGAAGAGACGCGCATCCCTGGCCTGTCTTACCTCCGCGCTCCGGGGCAAACAATAAAGCTCCGGCACAAACTATTTGCGAGGCGAGAAACTCGTCTCCGCGAACTTGAAATCCGCCGTGAAATAGCTTAAAGGCCAACTGCACGTTAGCAGTTATATGCTGTTTCTCTGCTTTTTTTTTTTTTTTTTTCCTGAGTTAAGGCTGTGCTACGAGAGAGCAGATAGATGCGCGCGCGACAAATGGATTGTGACATCAAGAATTATTCGTGATATTGTGGCGAGAAAACAATTAACGATTTTTAAAATGTGTTCTTCAAATAACGGTCTGATGAAAGCGTGACAAATATACATGACAAAACAAATATATATAAAAAACTTGGCGCAAAAACTCTCGTGCCTCTTGATTATTTAATATACATATTCCTGGCAAAATGGATTTTCTAACAATTAGTGTGTCGCTCGCGGGAAAGCGTTTTGCGCCGGAGCGCGTGCTACGTGTCGAAGTGCCGAGACTCCGTTATCGAGACGGGGATAATAGGACGATAATGTCGCAATCACGTCAACAACGTTCGTGCGTCGCAATATCAATTTCGATGGGGTTGTTAATGCGGCCGGATGGCTTTTGCGGCCAACTCAAATTATTGACACGCGTGTCACAATCAACGCCCAATGCTGTAACGGGATTTAATTTATTGTCTCGCGGAGAATTTCGATTTGTTGTAAATTACGAGAATGTGAGCAACTATGATGATATAACGAACAAAATGAAATTCACGGGCAAAATCGTTGCGACAATTCACGTCGAAACGCGCGAAGCGAGATTTTTCGAGCGCCTGAAAATAACGCGCTCGATGAATCGTAAGCTTCGCGAGCGTCGTCGCGCGCAAATACAAAAAAAAAAAAAAAAAAGAAGTGACGAGACAAAATGACAAACGCGCGCGTAGAATAATGCACTCATGTCGATACGCAAAATGATCGAATGGATTTTTCGAATTTTTTTCCGATCGCTGATTTCGCGACCGATCAATCGACGCGAGAGTTTATTATTCGCGAGTAACCGGCGAAATAATTTCGATGTAAAACAAAAAATATTAGCTTTCGCGCGCGCGAAAACATTTTACGCATGGCTTGCATTTGCGAACAGATTTATTTTTTCGCGATTTTCGATTTTTTTTTTTTTGCTTGCCGGCGGTACGACAGTTCATACGTCACGTCGTAATTGAACCGCGTGTTATTGAATTTGTCCTACGCCTCGTGACAATCATGCGAACTGCTGCGAGCAACTGCAACGACAACGGAATCGCACAGACACCGAGGCCTCGCAACGTCCATGCCAATTTTATACACGTATACATATTACATTTTCCCGGTCGGCGCGTCGCCGATCGGACAACTGCCGGCGACCCGAAGCGCAACGACGCGCAAACAAAATAACATAACGGGTGTGTGCGAACGCACACGATACTGCGTACATATGCATTTTTTTTTTTTTTTTTTTTTTTTTTTTGTTTTTTTTTTTTAATTGCGATCAGTGAAAATATAATAAAATCGCAATCGTGGATCGCCGGAAACGGCGAGTTCTAATCGAATGGCGCGTGATCGGTTTATCGGCGATAAATGACGGAAACTAATAACGAACGCGGTAAAAGTCGAACGTCACCAACAAACGCGGGAAAAGTTAATCCCGGATATCTAATGCTGTCCCAGACAGAAACGGAGAAAAATTGTCGACAACAAA